TTCCTTCCTTCCTTCCTTCCTTCCTTCCTTCCTTCCTTCCTTCCTTCTTCTTTCAATAAATATTGATTCAGTGCCTGGTATGTTCACAGGCTCCGGGTTTACCAAGAGCTGCAAGGCCACTCCTGCCCTCCAGGAGCAAACAATCTTGTCAGGGAGGTGAAAATAGGACAGGCACTTAATGTCCTCCCCACCTAGATTAAAATACTTGACATCCAGGCCACTGAGGATTCCAGAAGTAGGCATTCATTCATCCATCCATCCTATCAGCATTCACTGTGGGCTGCGCCAGGCCTTGTGCTGGATGCTCGAGACGCAAGACAATGATTGAACAAGGTTGCCCTTCCAAGGAGACCTCAGTCTAATCCCTGTGCTGGGAGATGCTCTCTCCCTCAGACTGGGTGTTGGGGATGGCTTCTTAGAGGTGATGTTGGGTGGAGTATTGAAAGTCGAAGTTAGACAAATGAAGGAAAGAAGACATTCACAGACTCGGGAAAAAGCACAGGGAAAGCTATGAAGGCATTAAGCGCAGCCTGGCTCAGCAGGGTATGGGGTGTCCGGAGCAGAATGCTCCTGTAGGGAACTAATCAGACGTGGGCAGAACCTGGGACACAACAGGCCCTTTGGACTAAGAAATCTGGGTTTCATCCTAATATGGGGCACTAACGATGTTTAGCAGAATGACATAATGAGGGCAAATCCAGTGCCACGGAGAATGGTGTGAGTTAGTTTCACACAATGCAGTTGCTGTGGGCACCGAGGGCAGGCTGACAAGTGAGAATCAGAGAGCAACCCTGGGGCTTGGGAAGAGTGCCCGCGATCCCGTGTCTTCCCAGGAAAGGGGGGCGGGTTCTGTGAGAAAGAGTCGGGTGTGAGGAGAGATATTGAACCCTATGGAGGGCAGGGCTTTGGAGGAGAGAAGACAGACATACATAAACACACACATACACACACATCCAGACACATCACACAGACACACATACTCACATGTACACACAACACATAGATATATACATATGCACACATATCACATGGACAAGCACGTATGCATACATATAATGACAATATGGGAGCCAAAGTCCAAACCTAGAGAAACCTGCCCACAGTTTTCCCTGCTTTCCGATCCTCACTCTAAGCCCACCTCTTCCAAGGTGCTCCCAGTTGCTCTTTTCTCTGCATTTCCTTGTCCCATGGGCTCTTGGCTGGCATTGCACTCAACATCCCACCTGACTTCTCCAAATTCCTACTGAACTGTCGACTCCTTCTCTGCCCCGTCCCCATACTTCCTCACATACACTAAATGGTTGCTTCTGACCACACAGCCCCAGGGAATCCTGGCCCGGAAGTCTGTGAAGAGATGGCATTTGAGGAGACAAGATGAAAACAACCTTTGGGGGAAAACGATGACTCTGTGGTGTTAGACCCCTGGTCAGCAAACTGCGGCTCGCGAGCCACATGCGGCTCTTTGGCCCCTTGAGTGTGGCTCTTCCTAAGCCTTAGGAGTACCCTAATTAAGTTAATAACAATGTCCCTACCTATACAGTTTAAGTTTAAAAAATTTGGCTCTCAAAAGAAATTTCAATCGTTGTACTGTTGATATTTGGCTCTGTTGACTAATGAGTTTGCTGACCACTGTAGTTAGACAGTCTTGGGGAAACTGAGTCACCAGGTTCTGCGCAGGAGAATCAGGGGAGACGAGAAGTAAAGGGTTGGGGGTTCCTCACACAACAAACCTTTCTCCTCACCTACTATGCAGCCACACTGTGCACCTGAAGGAAGATAAAGTCCCTGCCAGCGGTCTATCTGAGAGACAACCATGACGACCCAATGAAATTCAACAAGTTCTCAAGGGTACAGAGGTCAAGGGACAACTGGAAGGTCTAAGTGCTAACAACAGGAGTGGGCACTAGAGCACAACCATTAAAACGAATGGTTACAGAGACTATGAAGGGACATAGGAATATGGGGGTCACATGGAAAATGTCACATGGAAAATCAGCACCCAAAATCAAGAGTTTATATATAGGGGAAGTATGCATAAAAAGAGCAATGTAAAAAGAGTTACCAAAACTTTAACATCAGTTGTATTTGGATACTGGAATTATGAGTGACTTTTTTTTCTTTGCTCAGTTTGTACTGAGGCCACTTTTTCTTTCTTTACATTTTTACAGCAGAATGACCTCCTAGAAGATTAGGGGGCAGTTCCCCCCACCCTAGGGGAATCACTGCCAAGGAGCACTGAGGAGCCAAATTAATCCTTATTTGGATTCAAAATGACATAGACTAATAATAGGAAAATCTAAAGCAACCCAGCCTGCCCACATGCCTTTCTTAAACCCCTGCAATTATACCCACCCTGGGTAATGACACTCTGCAAGGTTACTCATAACCCAGCCAACTTTCCTCACCGGTCCTCCTGCTGCACCCCTCCCTCCTCCTCCACACTCAGCTCTGGCCAGGAATCCTCTTGGAGAGAGAAGTCCCCCTAATGCCCCCGATTTGAGCCCGAGGTTGACGCCTGGGGAGGATGAGAGTCTCTGTGCTCTTTCCCAACAGCTCATGGTCTTGTCATCCCATCTGGTTCCTTCCTTGTCACTGCCTCTGCCCCTCCTCATCTCTCTTTCCTCTGTTTAGAGAGGGGCCACGGGAGGAGGGGCCCAAAGGAATCCTGGAGGGAGTAAGTCAGATGGCCTTAATAGGTGAAGAAATGGAGGCCAGGAGACAGTGCCTTGCCCAAGCTCGAAGGTCATTGGCGCTGGGGCCGGGTTTAGAGCACAGGCCCAACAGGACCCCAAAACCTTCTGAGAAGAGAGAAGATTCTGATCCCTACCGTTCAGAACACACCGGAGACTAGCAAACCTCACAGCCTCCCTGGTGCTGCCTCAGGTCTGGCCAGAAAGCTGACCACTGGGCCGTAGGAGGACAGGGTCACTGGAAAGCCATGATCCAAGAGATACTCTGAAAAACAGGAAGCAGAGACAATGGGCACTTTGAGTGAAAGGTGGGGGATGGACAGGGAGAGCAGTTTGCCATGGACAATTTATTTAAGCTACTTTCCATGGAAAACTAAATCAGATTACATTTGTCCTTGAGTATGAGACCAAATTCTCGTCACCTCTTTGGCTAATCAACAAATATTTAGCAAATATTCACGTGGAGGCCCAGCCCTGAGTTAGATTGGAATAATAAGATTTAGACAGGATCTGCTCTTGCCTGGATGGCCCTTTTAGCCAGAAGGGAAGGCTCTAGAAACCTGTTCCATATTTGGGCAGTGACTTCATAGGCCATCACCTCAAAAGTCTCTGAGCACATGGACAAACCCAAAGGAAGTCCATAAAGACCTAGCAACCAAGTCATTATGGTTTCCACCCTGTTAAGCAGTGGGAAGATTTGTCCCAAGTCATCCACCTAACTTCTACAAGTTCAGCTATTGAAATAAGGAGTATCATTTGAAGAATGAAGGATAACCAGCAAGTCGGAGGAACAAGGTTTACTGGTCAAGACACAGACTGGATCCAGATTCTGGTTTTCAGTAGTAAATCCTAGTTACTAGTCTGTGGGTGAGAGAGGAGTCACACCACAGCCCACGGCAGCCTCAGGGGGATTCCTGAAAGCAGCACTTAAGGATCAAAGTTGACTTATGACCTACCCAAAGGTCATGACTACAGGGATGATAACAGTCTAAACATTTTTATTCATTTTCTTTTTGCTGGACCACTACCAAATGCTGTGGTTAATTTTTGACATCTTCCTCCTTCGAAACAGATATTCCTAATAGGAAGCCTGTAATAATTGAATGTGCTCATCTCATTTGCTTCTTTTTTCCCCAAGAGGGCCACAGCGGGAGGAAGAAAATGAATTAAGAACAAAAGTGAAAGCATTCCATGGGTGTTTGTGTGAGAATAGAGAATAAAAATGTACGAAAAGGGGAAAAAACATTGTGAACTTCAGAGATAGAAGAGAGTGAACATCGCAGTGTGGTATGGAGATTCGGTGGCATTTTTCTTTCTTTTGTGTATCCCATTTTACATATTAAGAGAAGTCCAGGCTTCAATCAGTTATACTTATCTCCATCATTAAAGGCATTTATATCTTTTAAAAAAATTGGGTTTGAAACCAAAACAGAAAGGGCACTTATCTTGTCAGTGACCCAGCAAAGGAGAAGCACATGGACGTTAGTTATCTCTGTTAAAGCTTTAAGCCCAAGAGCCTAAAAGGCTATGGGTTTGCTTTTTCTTCTGTCACATTGATTTCCAGATTCCATTGCCTCAGGATCCAATTAAAACAGCATGGATTAGCCACCCCTGGATTTCAGTGGACTGGCTGGTCAAGGAGCCAACATTCTTGGATCACCCTGCACACAGTCCTTCGAGGCCTCATGAGACCCTGCCTGACCACAAGGACTGTGAGGCCTCATGAGACCCTGGAGCCCACAAGGACTTCTCACTGCTCCTCCCTGTTGGTAAAGCTGGCGTATGAGCTCAGGAGGTAGGCCCTGAGCCTTCAGGCTCTCTGCAGTTGCCCATCTGTGAAAGGGCCTTGTGAAATCAGCAATTTACTTCCAGGCCCAGAGGCTAGAGCGCCCAGGCCTAGCTCATCAATAAATACTTTTACTGTCATTTTTAACTACTCCCTGGTCTCGCTGCCAACACTGGAAGTACTCTTGCCAGGAGAAAGCAGAAAGTCACACCCTGAATCTATAGTGGATCTCGGGGAAGGAGGGGGGAGGAGGAGGTGCTGGGGGAGGGGAGCTGAGAGCCTGGTTTAGTCTTAGCTTTGGGAAGTAGTTTAGCCTGTCTGGGCCTTGAGTTTTTCATCTATCTTTGCAAATGTTGGGCTTGATTGGATGATCTCTGCATGTCCTTCCAGCTCCTGAGTCTACCAGTGCATGGAATTGTCCCTAAGGAGCTGGGAGCATCCATGAGAGCAAATTCTGTTCCCTGTCTCCCAGAGGGCATGGACCGGAGCCCGACTGGGCACCATCCCTTCATTCTGCCTATACTGTACTGATCTAAAAAGAAGAGCTACATAGTGCTTGCAAAAAATGCAAAGTTTAAGATCAGAAGATCTGAATCTGAATTCTGGCTTTGCCACTTCACGGCTGTGGGAGTTTGAGAATCCCATTAGCCTCTATGAGCCGCTTCCCATTTGGGAAACGAGGATATAATATCACTGAGCACACAGGACTGCTGTGAGGAATAAACAAGACACACATGTGACAGCAGTCCATGAACTGAGCGTCTGTCCACATGGGAAGCATCTGAGCCAGGCAAGCACATCCCAGGGGCACTGCTCACCCTGCACGCTAGCCCACAAGCCATGTGGGAACCACTCAGCTGTGGTCCTCCTCCACACAAAGAGCCACGGGAGAACCTGAAAGGGTCTCAAGAGTGTCCCAGGGGCCCTGCTCACCCTGCATGCCAGCCCACAAGCCATGTGGGAACCCACGAACCACTCAGCTGTGGTCCTCCTCCACGCAAAGAGCCACGGGAGAACCTGAAAGGGTCTCAAGAGTCCATACGTTCTGGTCAAGCCCCGGGGGGTATAAACTCTATGAAACGTAGGCCGCAGAGTAAAGAACCAATGAAGACCATCCTCTCAAGGACAGTTACAACTTGAAAAAGGAGACAAGGCTACTGGGTCTGCTATTTGCAGGCTGGAACCAGTACACTTGTTCCTTATAGTCCTGAAGAGGGAAAGTGGCCAGGGAGATGGAACCAGTGGGTGGGATGAACCTCTCAGGAAGCTTCCTGGGGAAGGAGTTCCAGAGCTGTGAGCCACTCAGGACCTGACCTTCTCCCAGACCTCTAAGCTGTTCTCCCCACTTAGCCACCTCTTCACACTGCTCACCCAGGAGGGCTGGAGAGAGGGGAGACAGGGAGCCCACAGGGGGCCGAGCTCTGAGATACCTCCCAGGCCCAGCGTCTAAGAGAAATAAACGATGCTACAGGCTTGCAAACTCTACGCCTGCCCTGTGTTCATTTTCTTTACAAACCACCTGTTGCCATTTTCCCCTCAATTACGACTTTGTGAGCATTCCTGCATAGCTTTAGATACTCAAAGACTGTGATGAGTGGGCTTCTATCAGATTGAGGGTCCCCAAACTTAAGAGCTGTAATCGTCCCTCAGACAGAGGATTGCCTGGGCACAGTGACCATGTGTCCCTCAAACCCGGGCTGTTAGCCAATGGGAAGCCAGAATCCCCTTCAACTCCACCAGGTTTTACAGAGCGCCTATTAATGCCCCGCACCACACAGCGCACTGTGCAACATCTGCTTTACGGCTGTCCCCTCTAAGGACACATGTCCAGGCAGGAATCGTGTCCTCGTCTGTCAGGCTGCAGCTCTCAGACATGCCGCAAGCACACTGTAAGGTTACATGTCTAAAGGCCATACATCTTAAAAGCCTGGCCTGCCAAGTCTTACAAAACTTCAAATACCTAAGTGTAGTAATTCTACAAACTTCCATCATTTCCTCACTGATATGCTGCAATGAGATCACCAGTTGCTGTCCACATAGATGGCCCATTGGGACTTCTGGTCTAGAGGGTAAAATGGGGAAGCAGGGTTATGTAGTCACAACCCAGGCAAGGTTAACTCAGGCTGAGAGCCACAGGAGCCGGCACTGCTCTCGGCACTATGTTGTATCAGCCTTTTCTGCAAGTTAACAAAGTAAATGGACTAGTTCGGTTTTTCTTATTATATGCTCTGTAGGGTGGCAGAGGCACACAAGGAGTTACCCCCTACCCAAATGTACCAAGGAGGTCCATGCACAGCTTTGAAAGCCTTCGGCCTCTTCCCTGATGCTTAGTGTAGTGCCCAGTACACTGGTGTTGGCTATACTCATGAAAAAGCATTAAGCTCCTCAACCTGATAGAATGAAAAAAACAAAAAACCCACATATCTTTCTTAGAACATAATGCCTCCAAATTAGCATGGGTAATTTGAAGATTATTAGCTCTTTGAGGTCACCTGCACTTGAGGTGCCTAAACTTTTAAAAATATATATATATTTCTTTATTCATTTCAGAGAGGGAAGAGGGAGAGAGAGATAGAAACATCAATGATGAGAGAGAATCATTGATCAGCTGCCTCCTGCATGCCCCCTACTGGGGATTGAGCCCACAACTCAGGCATGTGCCCTTGGCCAAAATTGAACCTGGAACCCTTCAGTCCGCAGACTGGTGCTCTATCCACTGAGCCAAACTGGCTAGGGCAAGGTGCCTAAACTTTGCAATTTCATAGAGAAATAACACCACTCTCTCTATACATATACACACATATATATATATTCATTTTGACAAGGACATGAAAGAAACATGTATAATTTCCTATCACTTTTAAAAGAAATGATATTTTAACAACAAATAAAGGTAGGAAGGCCATGATTTCAGAATGAAAGGTTTTCCTTCTCAAGCACACACTGCTGACTATTCTTTTCCTTACATTTCCCTGAGAACTAAAGAACACACATATATACACATATATATATTCATTTTGACAAGGACATGAAAGAAACATGTATAATTTCCTATCACTTTTAAAAGAAATGATATTTTAACAACAAATAAAGGTAGGAAGGCCATGATTTCAGAATGAAAGGTTTTCCTTCTCAAGCACACACTGCTGACTATTCTTTTCCTTACATTTCCCTGAGAACTAAAGAACACACAGAGGGACAACATGGGCCCACAGAGCAGTACTAGAACCATGGTCCACACAGGCTCCTCTCTCCGGTACAGCCCGACTGAAAAAACTGTTTTGTACCCACGGCAACCATCTATTTGGCAGCCGTTTCTCTCCAAAATTTCCATGTGCTTCAGCTTCAAACTGAGAAACCTGCCTTTTCAACAGGCCCTACCATCTCCCTCCTGGCCATTATCTAAGGAGGGAGTCCCTGCGTTCACCTGGGTTCGTGCTGTCCACACGAAAACGAGTGCCACCAGTTTCTAAAGGTCTTAATCGGGATCATTTGCTTCATTAAAACTCCACCTTAATTAAGCACCAATTTATTATTGGAGCTGTCATTACAAAACATAGTTGGGTGGAACAAAGTTCAAATGTGGCATCTTAAACAATAGCAATTGAGTTCCAGTGATGAAAGAAGGGGGAGCATGCTGTTCTGTATACACAGAGCGGATGGTCAAGAGGAAAGTTTTATTTTCCTAGACAAGGGCTTGCCTCAAGTCATCCATGGACTCCCTCCTGACCTGGGGGTCCAAGGGTAGTCCAAGTTAGAGGTAAGAATGTGCTGTTATGGGAGGAAACAATAAAAAGAACAGCATCACCCCCACACTTTGCATACAACTATGTTCTCTTGACAAGCCTAGGGAACAGGTGTTACTATTCCTATCTGATGGGCAAGGTAACTGAGCTTGTTCATTCAACAAATACTTACTCAGAGTCTCCTGTGTATAGGTGCCAGGTAAGGTGCTGTGACTTTGTCAAGGTGACACAGCTGGCAAGTACCAAAGGGGGCACCTAAACCCAGACACCTAACCCCAAGTTTATTCCTTCCATGGCTGTCTCTTAGGCTGAGGTCATTGTTGCCACACAAGACCACAGGACACCAAAGCCAAAGGGCTGTGGTGGCAAGGACCACATGGTTGATCTCTAGCTGGCTCCTTTGCAAGGAAAGTCAGTATCGATTACCAATTGTCACAGACACCTGCTGTCCCAGGAACAAATCGAAGTAGCCACCAGTGTCCCATTAGTTACAGCAGTATCCACGGTGTACAACCCCGAATTGGGTGCAAGGATTTCATTCACTGTCTCAAGCTGGTGGGCAAGACAGAAACATCCCAGCAAAGCACAGGAGACCCTGGGGGAGAAACATTTGTCAAAAGAGGAGCAAGCTCTCTTTGGAGTTATGAAGGTTTCCTAGCAATGGGATCAGAAGCCAAACTGTGGGATTTGAAAGGTCCCACTCCTTCGGCCAAAGACTGAAATCTCCAGTGTGATTCCCTTAGGCCATGTCAAGAGTCAGTCAGGGACATACTCCTCAGGCATGGCCCTCTGGTGATGGCATGCACCCTGGGCCAGAGGATTTGAAAACAATGTCAGTCATCCACTCCAGCTGGCCATCCCCCTGCCCAGCCTGCTGCACAGTTGCATCAGAAAGGGGCCAGTCACACACTAGGCTGCCCATTTCAAGAATGCCAAAATCTCTATGAATGCGTGCAATCACAGGGGGGTGGGGCGACAACCTGGGTCACGTAACAGGCCAAACACTAGAGACTGGCCCCGATCAATAGATGAGTCACAGCTAGAGTATAAAACCTCAGAAGCTCCAGTGCTCTTCACACAGCCAGCATCTCCCTCCTCACTCACCTTCCTTTGGGTAAGTGTGGGTTTACTGGCCCTGGTCTTTTCAGCGGGTCTGGCCTAGGCCTGCATAGGCTAGAGCAGGGGATGGGCAGGCGAGGTCTCTCTTTGCTTTGGGAGCTACTGGACCGCTGGCTTCCCAACTGTATTCGTGCTTAGAGGGGATTCAGGCAGGAAAGAAAGGGGGGCTGGGCTGATGCTGTGGAGATGGTGTTGCTTGTCTTCTGGCCGGAATGTAAACTTCACAACGCAAGACTATCTCCTGTCTCTCAGGCACCCCTGTAGGGGCCAGGCCTGGTGCTGGGCACAGGGAGACACTCTAGGGAGACTGTCTGAGATGGCCTGGGACTGGGTTGTCAGGAGGGGCGGAGCCTACTCTCACGGAGTAGAGGGAGAATGAGTCAGAGAATGCTGCTGATGGGAGAGATTTTAGGAGCCATCAGAACCCCAAGGCTTGTTTTACAGAGAGAGGGAAATGACTTGTGAGATGCTGGGATCCAACTTCCTACTAGTCCAGTCCCCTAGACCAAGGTTGGACTTCACAAGTGGTAAAGGCGGTGGCTGACGTCATCCGGTGAGAGATGGTGGTCCAAAGGACCAACGGAGTCCAGGCAGGACCATGGGGGAGCCTCCTTTTTCTGATAACTGTCCGGGATGATGGCCAAGCTCAGTGGGATAGACCAAGAGCTTGAACTAAAAGTTTTTGCAGAGAATATGTTACCGCAGCTTTCTGGTTTTCCAACAAGCCCTCTGTTGTGCAGGGGATGAGTAAAATCCCCACCCTATGTGAAGGTCTGTGGTATTCTTCTATTTGCACTCACTGATTCAGTGTTGGGACTGGAAGAGACCTGAGAGATGAAATACTCCAACCCCTCACTTTACAGGAAGTGAGGAAATAGGAGAGAGTGTGGGTCCTTTGCTCCAAAATCACACAAGAGGCCAGAGGCAGAGCTGGGGAGAGAAGAATGGGCACCACTAACCAGGCTATATAGGTAGAGCTTGGAAAAAACCTCCTGCGAGAGGACGCAACTCTTTCCCAAAAAGCACCACTCCTAGGAATCCCAGCTGAGAGCTCTCCGGATCTGAACAAGGAGAGCATGAAGCCTGCCCAAGCAGGCTGCTCCTGGTGATGGGTTGCCATGGCTACAGCTGCCTCCTCCCCTTCATCCTCTCTCCACTGGTCCATAATGCTCTCTCTGCCCTCCTTTCAGGGTTTCCTACCACCTCAGAGAAGATGTCTCAGAAAAAGCAGCCCACCCCCCAGTGCCCCGTGTTCTGCGGGAAATCCTCCGGCGGCGGCGGCGGCGGCGGCTACTATAGCGGCGGCGGAGGCGGCGACT